CCTCCTCCTCTTCTTCTTCTTCTTCCTCCTCCTCCTTCTCCTCCTCTTCCTTCTTTATTTTCTTCTTTTAAGCTGGTATTGAGGTTCGAATGCAAGGCCTTCATGTTGAGCCCTTCTTAAAAATTTCTTATTTTGAGATAGTATCTTCCCAAGTCACTAAATTGCCCAGGCTGGGCTTGAATTTGGGACCCTCTGTGGTTATGGAGTGTACCAACACTTCTGGTTTAAAGTTCATGTCCTTATCCTTTGTTTGATTTTAGAGAGTAGGGAGCAAGGCCCATTTCTGAATCCTGCTTTCCCTTGCTCTGCTTTACTTCTTGCTGTAATCCCTGTAATCCTCCAGGATCAGAAAAGGTGGGCTTTGTCTTTTTTCCTCATTTGGCTAGGATGTATCCTACTTGGAATTCCTTTATAAGAATCCGAAGAGGAAATAGAAAAATTCAGAAAATCCTCTTACTCAACAAAACCTGGCTATCAAAAATATTGCCTTGGTAGAAAAACTTATTTTGGGCAATGGAAAGTATATTAACTATTTCCTTCTTTTTGCCTCTTTGTTGTGATAACTCCCATCAGCCTTTAGCTAACATAGACATATTTGGCGACATGGAGGGAAAATCAGAACAAGAAAATGTGAAATAGAAAAGGACCTGAACATATTTCCAAGGAAATTTCCCTGTTGACGAACACACTGGCTTTCAAAGGAAACAGCTGTGATTGGTTATGGTAATGGTTTTGTTTGCCAAGAGATTTCTGGGTTTGGAGCATTCCCTGGCCAAAAGCATCATTTGGGAATAAACAAAAAACAGGATTTGGAAAATGGTTTATCTCCCCTGTCACACTGTGGGTCTAGACCAGGGATCAGCAGGCTTTTCCTGCAGGGGGTCAGAGAGCCAATATGTTTCAGTCTTTGTGCGTCATGGTTTCTGTCACAATTATTGAGCTCCGCTATGATAGCCAAAAGGTATAGACACAGACGACACGTAAACAGGGGAGGATGGCAGTGTTCCAATAAAACCTTATTTACAAAGGTAGTCAGAGACTTGTTACAACAAGACCACATTTGCTCCATGGGTTGTATGCCGACCTCTGTTCCAGAGTTTAAGTAGAAAGAGACTTTGAAGTCTAATTCTCACTTGAGAGGTGACAGCTGAAGATGTTATGCCAAGGCCTCTGGAGATACCCAGGCATCAAAGGCACACCCTGGTGAGACTCAGGCCTGACAGGTGGCAGGTAACGCTGTATGAAATGCTGTACTTCTGACACTGTGGTACTGAAACTGCTCCTACGCAGAGGCTGTTGGCTGGAGACCGGAAGGAAGGGTTTCTAGTTGTCTTTACTGCTAGGGTGATTTTTGTACTGTAAAGTCCAAGGGATATTTTGAGGGAAACAGCCTTTTGAGGAAGTATATTTTTTAGAATGCACTTTAATTTACAGGTCAGTAATCCCTGAGAGTGACGTGGGAAGTAGGTGGGGCAAGGGCAACAGAGACCTAGGGCTCACTTGCTCAGGAGGAGCTGAGGAAGTTGGCAATAAAAAGATCCTTTGCCTGGTGCAGAAGTGTGGCACCCACGATCCCAGGTACTCAGAGAGCTGACAGAGCAGGATCACGTGAGTCCAGGAGTTTGAGGACAGCGCTGGTAATACAGAAAGAACCTATTGTAAAAACACAAACCAAAAAAAAAGAAGCATTTTTTAAAAAGATCCCTTAATCTTGTTTACACTTAACAATTTTGAATTAGAAAATTTAAATTGACATAAAAATTGTATATATTTATGGAGTGCAGTGTGATATTCTGACACAGGTACTCATTAAAGTCAAGGTAAACATCTATTTCCTCAAAGTTCGTTCGTTC